GACTACCATTTTTTTAGACACCTGGACCACTACTTACAACACATAATATTCAAAAATCAAACGGAACTGGAAAATGCATTTATTGACTTTATCAATTCTAAAAATTCTGAATTCTACTCAGACGGAATTAATAAGTAACCAACACGTTGGGAGAAATGTATTGAGAGTATGGGAAATTATTTTGATTAAAGAACATTGCTTTAAAGTAACTAGTTTCTTTTTTTTTTGTTTAATACCAAAATCCTGCATTATTTTCCGGACAACCCAATATATATAATTTTTTTTTTTTTTTTTAAGTAAAATTTATTCTTTGTTTTATATGTTGTGTATATTTTGGATATTTATTAATTATCTATAATTAGATAGAGGTTAGTTTAATTCTCGTTGAATTAAGTGCTGGAAACTAAAGCAATAAAATTCTGTTTATCTCAATTTTCTGTGGAGATACATACCCCAGTCTTACATTTGTTTTAGTCTTTAGATTCATAATTCTATTAAATTTGCACCAAATCTTGTAACAACATCCCTATGCAAAATTGCAATATATTAACAACTACTATTACTACTAGTGCAGGACCCAGCATGGAGCCTTGGGGAACACGTGCTTCAATGCTTCCCAAGGACGAATCAATTCCCAGTATCTTGACATAATGTTCATAATGCCTGTTGGATAACTGCTGTTTTATGATATATACCTAGGTCAAAATTTATATGATATTAGTTTAGTAATAATTAAATTGCATTTGTTAATAGTTTTTAAATTACTATTGATTTAACAAATGATTAATTTTTAAATTAATAGTAATTAATTAATTTAAAATTAATCATTTTTAATTATTATTACACGTAATAATAATTATGTGTAGTAATAATATTACACGTAATAACGTTTTTCTGTTCACTAAATATTACACAAATTTAAAAAAAATTATGTTAAAGTTGATTGAGCATCTTGGTAAGTTGCAGTTCTCCTGAGAAAATCAATTGATCATTGCTAAATTGTTTTAATTTTATAATTGCTTTTTACTGTATGCGGGGGTCGAATGGTTAAAATGACTCGTTTTTTCCAAGCTAGCGGTTCTGGGTTTGAATCCTGGCACAGACCTTGGAATTTTTTTTTGTAAAATGTCTTGTAAAGTGGTGAAGACCCCTCATTGAACAGTTACTGGACATTAAGCCCTCCTGTATGACGAATAACTTTACTTTGTATGGTATGAAGTTTTGTTTTGTTGACAGGTATTTCAAATAGACCTACATTTATAATAAGCAGTATTCTTTAAAGCGTTGCTGCTCTTAATGTGATGATAAATTTCACAATTAAACAGTTTTTATTTATTTTTTTTTTAATTATACTTTCAGGTACACTGTAAATAATTTACTTGGAAATTTTTAAATGTAAAATTCATCTCTAATTTAGAAGAGAACTTATTATTCACAAGTTATACTTATGACTTATTCTAGTGTCAGTTGCTATAATTTTTTATTTTTTATTGTGAACATATTTACAAAATTTGTAAAATGTAAAACAAGTGGTTTGACCAGCTTACCCTGTGACTGGCAATACCCTGTTCTCACCTTGTTAATATATTATAAAATAAATCAAGTCTTTCAGCTATAAATTTTATGTATTTGCCAGATTGTAAGAAAAAAAATTAATTTTATATTTAACAAAATGCAATCAAATGTATAACAGATGGATTAGAAAAGAACAGTAGTTTGTGTAAGCTTCAAAATTGTCTCCACTGTTTTTTATGTTTGTTGATCGTCTTAGAATTTATTAAGTCTCCAGGCCGTGACTTGAAAATTCTATGGTTAAATGGTTTAAATTCTAAACATCCCAGTCCAGTGGTTTTTTTTCGATTTTTTTCCTACGTAGAAACACACACTTTAGCCAAATCAAAAACACCGTTACCTAGATCATCCCAACAATGTGGCGCAAGAAGAAAAAGCCTTTAATTGTCGAAGAGAAGAAGAAAGAAGAAGAGCCCAAAAAGAAGAGAGTTCCAAATTTCCATCCTCACGATGTCTGCAATGCTCCGCAGGTGTATAAGTACATGGCAGGTCATGTTGTCGCTAGGGAACTATATGAAGCTGGTATGTTAGTAAATAAGAAAACATAAAAATAAAAATAAGAAATACAATTGTAAACATTTTCACACATGATCTTGCATAAGTCTAACAATGCCATATGATAAAAAACCCAATTAATAATATTGCTTAAGAAAAATTTTGTTAATTTAAAATAAAAAAAGGCATTGATCTGAATAAGACTTTAATAATTCATACAATCTTAAGTTAGAATAAAATTGATTTAAGATGTGACTTAAAAGTGATTTAAGTATTTAATTGAATTATTGTGTACGATATTAAATCAGGGTAATGCTTCACCTTATTTTGCTTAATAATAAATTTTTCTAATAATAAACATATATTTTTATTATTCATTCCTTCTATATTTGACAGGAAATACATTAAAAGGTCGTTTAATAATATATGAATAATTTAAGGAATCCGGCTGTATACTATCGCAGAGGAAGTGTCTCGGAACACGGTCGACAAAGCTTACGACCGCATTAAACGTTCACAATGTCATCTCGCATTGTGCGACATCCCGAAAGCGAGAGAGGATGCCACAAAGGCGATGGAACTGTGCCCGGAAATGTTGTACTTACATTTCCAAAATGGCAACGTTCTTTACAATGAGAATTTGTTTGAAAATTCCCTTATGACCTACGAATATGGCTCTAAACAGAGGACATTCCCTGATCTGTTTGGGAATGGAGTTAACATTGTACGCCATATTAAAATAACGATAAAAATATAAAATATATTAATTGCGTGTATCTTAAAGGCAACAGGAACACTAGAGAATTGTGTCGGAGGCAATGCCGGCCCTATGCTAAGCCAAGAATGTTTAGGGAAGATAATAGTGGCATTAAAACTCCAGGAAATGGGGATAAAAGAAATCAAGAAAAAGGAATTGAATGAAATCCAGAAAAAGAGAAACGAGGTGAATTAAACCTCTAATATATTTCAACAATTAATTTAAACTAATTTATTTTTAATATATGCGTAGATGATCGTCGCTGAAAGAAAACGCCATTATAGTGAAAAATATCTAGGGATGATTGCAAGGGAGAAGCTGCACATGATAGACATGCTAATGTCTTCTGCTTTGTTCGGTTCAAACACTGTACACAATAAAGTAATGGAAAACATGTTAATAAACACGGTGGAAAAGCTTGAAGTCCTTCAGGTAGGAAAAATTATCATTTTATATTTACAATGTAATTTTAATAAGGATATGATGAAAGGATTGCCTCTGGAGGAGGAAGCCGCTTTATGTATTTGCCCATAAACGTGGAAAGCCGGCACCAAAGCACCTGAAAGAAATTAAACAAGAAGCCATACTTAAAGCCCACCTAATGGTTAGGGATATTGCAAGACAGATGAATGTAAAAGGATTTGAATAGATTTCTCAAAAAAAAAAGTTACTGATTTCTATACATTTTTTTTTCAGCTAGTTCTTGTGTATTATAACAACAAAGACTGGGGAGCTTGTTATAAATTGTGTGAGCACATTAGGGCGAAATTGTGGAGGATGCCAGATATCAAAGGTGTTAATAAAGATGAATGTGTCGAACAGCTTATTGATGTTCTTGGTGACATGTATTTTGCAATGAAGGTTGTACATTATTTCTTATAGGAGACACATTGTACGTATCACATTTTTAGGCAATGCATCCTGATTGGCCTCAGAAATGGAACGACAAAAGGATCCTTTGCATTCTTGGCATAACGCAAAACATGTTCTCGGCGAAAGAAGTTGCCAAATACGGTTTTCATTATCCTGTCTACAACGCACAGTCAGTAATATCAATTGAACAAGCGCATTTCAATAATAATGAGAGAGAACGCTTTTAGCCAGAGGATAAAAGATTATTTGGAAGGGATAATGCTCACCAACAGCCAATACCAAAAGATGTTTTTCAATTTTGAAATATCCTGCCTGTACTCGATGATCCACAATTTGCCACAGATGAGATCATTTGCACGACAGGCAGTTTTCACTGCTCGAAAAGAAGGGAATATTATTTGGTACATAAACTGCCTGTTTTTATTGGCGAGGTAAGCTCTTCACAACTTGCTAAAATTAATTGTAACAATTAATTCAATGGATAAGTGTTTATTTTAATAAGCGTTTTACATTAAAAATTATTCCACCAAGAATTTTTTACCTATATGTTCAAAATATGAATACAAAGAATTGCCTGAAGAATAACTTAAAATTTTGCTTAATTTTCAAATTTTAAAAAACTGTTGACTCCCGGCCATTTATAATACTACTTGTTCTAAATATTTTAAATGCTAATATAACTTGATTTATGTGCATACAGAACTGATTTTGAAGAAGGAAATATCCTTGAAGGAATAGTATCTTTAACAGCAATACGAGAAGCTTGTTTTAAATATGGATTCCCGATGCAAGAAAAATTTGCAGAAAGGGTAAACTTTTTTTTCAATAATGCCAAAATGTTTATATACATGCATTACTTTCTGTTATAATTAGGGAATAGTATTGCTCCATGTTGAAATGTCCAAAGAAAAACTCGTAGGGGGAGTACGAGGTAGTGTTAACAGGGCGAAAAACATCATAGATCTTATGCCTAATGCTGATTTGAGGAGTAGAGCAAGAACACTGATATGGCAGGTACGTTATTTTTGAAATTTTAATGTTTTAAAACCATGTTATACAAACATATTATTGATATCAATAGGTCAATAAAAAACCACCATGGAAGAGGATGCCTTTAGTTAAGGGAGTGGCTGTTGCTGTTCAAGACAGGAAACAGGGTCCGTTCGAAGGCGAACTGGCTCGCGAAGAAGAGAGACGTCTTAAAGCGAAGAAACTTCGAAAAGTCAAGAGAGCTCAGGAAGAAGCTTTGGCCGCAGCTGAATCTCTTGCAGCCCAAAAGGGAGAGGGTTACAATTTACTGGCAGGAACGATAAAGGGGGTAGACCCAGCTCATTTTAGACTAATAGTGGACGCATACAGGCGCAGGAGCACTTTCAATTTAGACATGTTCCACCAATGATACAAATTTACTTATTTTAAAAGTTAAGCACACTAAAGTTACCAAATTAAAATGTATTCTTCATTTAGATTCCAGTAGAATAGTTTTTCTTAGATAATATAATAAAGTGTAAGATGAATATTTAAAATACACTGCTCCACACACTGAAATTTCCATGTTTTTTGTGTTCACCTTTTCAGTATTATTAATTTATACATATTATTAAATTTATTAAAAGTTTGGTAAATGTGAAAATAAATATAACTTTTTCAAAAACTTTTATTTATAACATAAAACGTAATAAAACAAGCTTAAAAGTTTTAAATAGGGTGCATTACCTCATTTTATCCATATTACACACTCTAATCTTGTCTTGAAGAATTTTATCCCAAATCTCAACCAACATTTCAGCTCAGCTTAAGGTTGTAGGAGAGTTATTTCTTTGTTTTACTTGGATGTCTATTCTCGTCCCAAAAGTGTTCAATGCGGTCCAAATCAGGGATATAGACTGGCCATCATACAGTACAAATTTGATATCACGAAGGTACTGCATAACACTGATGTTGACGTGTGGTCTTCCATTATTTTCCTTAAACAAGAATTGTTCACCAGTAACAGGAGCAAATGTCACCACATATTCTTCAAGAACTTCTGTCACGTAGATTTCTGCATTAAATGACGCTCTATTAAAAATATGTAACTCTGTTTTTCCTCTAAAGAAATGCCTCTCCATACCATATTTGAACCACCTCCGAACAACCCTCTTCCGGCAATGTTGCATTGGCTGTAGTGCTTTACAGCTGCTCAATAAGCTCAAAGTTGTCCAGTTAGTAAAGGGACAGAAAACTAGGACTCTTCTGAAAACATAATTTTCCTCCGTTCAGTTTGAAAAGCCGTGGAGGCTGGTTAATAACCTGAAGCTGGTCAGTGAGTTATAAATAACAAGGGAGCACAAGGATTCAGGTTGAGGTGCAACCTGGATCCTTGTGGCCACCTCTTTTATCCCTATCCCATTCAGTTTCTGACCAATGTCAGTTTTCTTTTGCAAACTCTAAGCAGTCCTGACAATGGTCTCTAGTAAGCGCTGGACCCATTGCTGGCTTTCTTGGATGACTCAATTCTGCAAGTCTCCTTACTGTTTCACCACTAATGGAAACATTCCACAAGTCAAGATTCAAAGTTGTTGAGATGTTTCAGTAGCAGTGTAAAAGAGATTTCTCAAAGTGTGCAATCTGATAAATCCGTCTAGTACCTTGGCTATTGGGCATCCTTATCATGGTATCTGAATACACAATACTCCTGAATGCCCAATAGACCAGTTTCAGGCAAACCTAAAGATTGAAGCATCGTGTACACACATTTTTCCAATTAACAGGTGCAATGGTAACTTGCTCGCTGATTATGGGCATTTTTTAATTGTTTTGTCTCATGCCACCAACACAATGGTGAATAAAGGCCTTTTTTAAATGATTAATGCCCTTGATAATTTACATTATGGGGATTTTAAGCCAAATTAAGCAGTGTGTTAACACCTCCCAATCAACAACAAATCAAATACTTTCCAATTATAATTATTAAATCATTTTTAAAGTAGTAAAACATTGTTAAATTAAAAAAAGAAATCAAAATTTTGAAGTGTGCCAATTTTTTTGTGGAGAAGTGCAGTTCAGCAAAAGTTCAGAATAAGTATACAGTACTACATAAAACTGATGTTATTGGTTTTAATTATGGTTATTCTAAAAGGTAAAAAAATACAATGTACTTTAATCGTTTTATTACAATATAATCATTTAATGTTGAAAATATCAATTCTTTATCACAAAAATAAAAACAATATAATAATGCTGGAACATTTAACTCTCTTTGGTAACGGTCAAGTGATAAAATTCAATGTTGTAGTATAAAGTAATTTTTTTTTAAATATATCTCAATCACACTAAAATTGCCATAAAATATTGTATATAAGCTGAACAGGTCCACTTGAGTAAATTTAACAATGTTTTGTTTTTATATAATACAATTAATTTCTAAAATTGTAAATCAGATCGAAAAAGAATTATTTAAATTCTACTTGAACAAACATATCACATTGTAAATCATAATAGTTCATTTATTACATAAATTAAAACAGCAAAGGTGATAGGTGTCATTTGATAGTAATGAAAAATAAAATGGGTATCACAAACATTATGGCACTGGATAAAAGAGGAAAATAAATCTTAAAACTAGATTTAAACAACTAAATTGACAAAAAAGAACAAAACATGACTAAATTAATTTCGTTAAGACTCATAAAAGTATACCGGTCATATAAAATCATTGTATGCCATCTGACTGCTATTCCAATTTAGTATTTTCACTAAGCAGTAAATTGGAAATTTCAACACTTCATTTGTTGCTGCAACAAATACCCCAAGAATTCCTTTCCTTTGTTATAATTAATTACAGGTGTGAGTATTCTTTTTTTAAACTTTTTAACACAGATTTCTATATTGAAAAAACTGAGATCGCAACAAAAACTAAGAGAAAGGATATTCGAAATGCTAACTTTTGACTACCAACCTCTCAACTTATTTAAAAATCAAATTCAATCCATTTCTAGCAATTCCTAGAAGAAAAATAAGATAATTTTAATATTTAAAAAAAAAGTGTAATAAAGTGTTGTATCTCTCTTAGTAAACACCTGCTAAAGACTGAAATCCCAAGGCCAATCAAAACCAGCCTAGATAATCAAAAAGATTCAACAATTTATTTTGTCGTTACTGATCATTTTGGTCTGTCTATTCTCACTGCATTTTGCCATCTACAGTGTTCGATCTATCTGAATCTGAACATGGTGTAATGCCAACTATGTCTAACAGACCAAAAAGATAGTAACGGCCAAATTACAGGTTCATCACCACATAGACAAAGCTCACAATTTGACTACTTGCATGCAGATAGCGAAATGAATTAACATGCTCACCCCACCTTAAATCCTTATTTTTTCTTCCTTTCTTTGGCCCTTTCCAACCCTCATAAAGGGGTTCCAAAAAACATGATAAATAATTAAAGTTAAAATTTATTTTACTGAGAAGGCTGATCAATCACCAAAGAAAATATTAAAGTTAAAAATAACTACTACTTTATATTATTTATATAATTTTCCCTTGTATAATGTATCATGTAATTTATTCAGTATTGAATTTTAAGGGGGAGGGATTTTGAATCCTGACAGGATTCTGAACAGGACACTGGGAAATGAATGGGGTATTTGAAGACAATTGGTATAATCAAACGCGGTTCACAAGGAAGCAGAAGAGACAACACATCTTCTATCAAACTGTAGAGCCTGTAGGAGGAAGTTCTTTGGGGTGAAAAACAACCGTACAAGAAAGTTAATCAATGCTACTAATCAAATTTCTTGATAAACTAGGACTCACAGGTACATATGGGGGGTACAATAGCTCTCAAAGGACACTACTGCACACCATGAATACATCTACATCCACATTTATGGAAAGTTGCATTTCTACATTATTTGTAGAGATAAGAGCTTTTATGATCAGCTTTTACAATAATCCAAACAAGTAGAATATTTTCTATTAAGTTTGTGGCACGAGTGGAAATTCCACAACAAAGTAAGTTTTACAAAAAATGTTTTCATACTTCAGGCAGACTAATGGACAAGACAAACCACAGATGTTGAAAAATGCTGAAAGCATCAGATAAGCAAAAGCAGTGAGAATAAGAAGAATCACAATTTGCGCTTGGGAGAATTATACATTTCAAAACCAAATATTATTTTATGACAAAATAAACCTTTGTTTAATTAAAGTCAACTTATGAATGAAATAAGAAATACTTTGACCTTTTTTTAAAGCAAAATTTGAGTATTTATCTTTCAGAAGCGAGGATAAACCCGTAAAAACATAAAGACAACCAATTGTTTCCCCTTCAGAGTCAGTCTCAGCGATTAGAAATTAAAATAATAAAATTTAAACTAATTTTTTTGAACAAGGTGGAGATATAATTAACAATTTTATTTACTAGGGTAATATTCATTAGGATTTTGTATCACAATTACATTACTAAAATATATAAATTGTGGGAAGGTTAATAGAGGAAAATAAGACCAGTGGAAAAATTTATACTTTTGGTCCCATGATTGAATCTAAGGACCTAAATCAGATTGGTACTCCTGCAGCCAACATATTCAGTTTAAGTATGTTTTCAAATTAAAATTAAATGTTTAAGAGGTTGGATCTGTTAAACCAAAAGACATTTCGATTTATCCTAATGTTTCATTTCTAATATCAACATTAATTACTTTCAGATCAATTATTTCCCGAACGTACAATATGAACAACAATCTGTCAAGATATACATAGTTTAGATCCCTGTTAAGAGAAAATAGTTTTATACAAACGATTATGTACAAATTTTGAGATATTCTGTCCTTGTGGATATTTGCTAGGGCTCAGTAGGTAACGCCGTGGGTGAGGGAGTTCTCCAGGGTGATGTCAAAAATTGCAAGTGATTTGAGCATATGGACAAGGTAGTTGAGAAGATTCGGCTCCCTGAAGAAAGAACTCTCTTCGTACATTTCGAGTGTAGCACGTGAACCAGCGAGTACATCAACCACAAAGTGATGTAACAAATGATCTCTGAATTTACAATTAAAACGAAATTAAAAACCTCTAATTTGTATTTTATTTTTAAGAAGAAAGTACCTGAAAGAAAGGCAAACGAATATCTGAAATTTTCCATCTTTGCCAAGGGAATGAGCAGAATGAGAAATAGCCGTCACTAAATTGAAGAAATATCTAACTGCATCACACTGCCCACTCAATCCTTCCAGATCTTCTTTCACCTTAACTGTAAAAAATATATATAACCGTATAAATTCAATAATCTTTAAATGTTTGTATAGATAAAATCAAAACTACCGATGTAATCCCAGATATAAAGATTTCGTCCGAAAAGCCTATTAGATTTGAAGCCGTAGGAGAAAACTTGTTCTAAACTTGCTACCAATCCTGATTCTCCACAAAGCAAGACAGTCAGCGAGTTATTTGGGCAATCTTTAGACTGCAATCTGGAAAAATACTTCCCCAAACTATTAACACAGTCACCTAAAAATAAAAAATAAAATTAAACTTTGAACAGATTAAGCACAAAAAAATAAAATTAAAAAAAAATTTAAAAATCACCAAGCATATGCTGAATTTGAGATAGAGAGAGTTGTCTTTTGGCAGGAGGTACACTAGGGCTTCTTAGCCTGCTTCCGTTCACTTTGTCACCATCTGAGTATTTTTCCTTTTCGCCGACTAAAAGCCGTTCTGTAGAATCATCATCGATCCCTTTTCCAAGCCACCGTCCACAAGGAAATCTATAAACAGACAAAATAATCATCTCATCAAATAAACTATATAATCTTAGCTAAACTGTCACCAACTCACATGTAACAATGGCCTGTAACTTCATTCCTGACTATGACTTGGTCAACCAGCCATTTAGGACTTAATCCAGCATTGTCATGGCCTATTCTGAGCGTTGTTAAGGTGCCAACATTTTTATGCTGTAAATGAAAGGAAATCTTTAAGCTGAAAAATAGATGATTTACTGAGATGGAGGAAAAAATGTGAATACTCTGAAACATCACAATGAGGTCTGTGAGGTAATGAACCTACAGAATGATCATGTGGTCTTATCCTGCTGGTTTTGTCGGTCAGACCAAATTTTTTTTTTCCCCCAATTGTTGAAAGTGAATTAGTATGATCAAACCGGCAAGATAGACTTTGATGATCAGAGACAATCAAGCAACAGGTTCATCACCAATTAACCTTTTATAGTGTAGTTAAATAATAATGATCGGGGGATCAGACGGGCTAAGATTCACTGACTAATGAAATTTAAAAGGAAATGTTTTAAATTAATTATTTGTTAATTTGTTGAAGTCATGAAGAGCGGTAATAAAGAGTTTTAGAAATACATCTTTTTCATTTTTTGCCGATGTTTCAACTTTTATTTGGGTACTCTTCAGAACATAACGTGTGGTCCTATTCTTGTTTCATATGTCCTATGACATATTTGTTTCATATGAAATTATTAACATATGAAACATATACAGGGTGTCATTTTTTGATGCACCATTGGAAAATCAACATGGGTGCGTTTAAATCTGACTCGAGGATTATTTCCTTTGATTAATACGTTAATAAAAGAAAGTGAGTCAATTTTCGGTGCACCATAGGAAAATCAACGTTTGTGCGTCTAATTACGACTCGGTACATTTTATTTTGTTAGTCTCGTACCAAGAAATAGGCGAGTCACTTTTCGATGCACCATTCGTTAGTGTTAACAAATTAGTTTTAGAGGTTGGAAGGAAAATAAACAAAACCAATATTATTAAAACATTATTCAAACACAATAAAAAAAAATTCTTCCCAAATTAATTTGATTAAGGTTTAAGAGTATGTTTTTCTGGTAAAGTAAAAAAGTTTTAAAAAAGTCTATCATAAAACGATGATTGGACATTAAATAATTGTTGGTGTGTAATAGACTAGGTTACTGTGTTGCAGCAAATGGAGGTCTGTTCAAACAATTATTATAATGATTTTGAACATTTTTGGTTTGCTAACAAAGGAGATTGTTACATTTATTTAATTTTTCTACTTTACCAGAAAAAAGGATATTGTTACATTTATTTAATTGTTTTACTTTACCAGAAAAAAGGGTACTGTTACATTTATTTAATTTTTTTACTCTACCAGAAAAAAGGAGATTGTTACATTTATTTAATTTTTTTACTTTACCAGAAAAAAGTACTCTTAAACCTTAATCAAATTAATTTGTGAAGAATTTTTTTAAAATTTTTACATTGTGTTTGAATAATGTTTTAATAATATTGGTTTTGTTTATTTTCCTTCCAACCTAATAAAACTAATTTGTAATGAATGGTGCGTCGAAAAGTGACTCGCCGATTTTTTGGTACGAGACTAACAAAATAAAATGTGCCGAGTCATAATTAGACGCACCAACGTTGATTTTCTTATGGTGCGTCAAAAAATGACTCACCCTGTATATAACCACAAGAGTAATACATTTTATGCCCTGAAGATGACCCGAGTAAAAGTCAAAACATCGGCAAAAAAAAGAAAAATGTGTTTTTCTAAAATACTTCATTCTTGATCGCACCTCATGACTTCAACAAATTATTGAACAACCAGTCAATAAAAAACACATTATTTGTTTGTGTTTTGTACCGTTTTTTTTTTTTATTTTTTTTTTTTTTAACTCAATGGGCTCTGTCTATCAATAATTAATCAAAATTGTCTTTGCAAATTTCTTTGATAATTTAAAGTGAGAAAGTTCAATAACGCAATTCAACTTTTGTGCTAAAAAAAAGCTACTTGGATATGAAAAGCCCTGCCGCATCCCAGAAATTGCATACTAAAAAAATTGTTAATTGTAATTTTACACTTTATTTTTTAACTTTTTAAATTTCTTGTTGAGGAGTACAGCTTTTTTACTAGGTTAAACTTGTTATCTGTTAAAATACATTTTTTTATGATTGTTAATTATTAAAGACTATATATATTTGTGTGGTGATTAATGACCGTTAGTCTATGATTATTCGGAAATGCGCACCAGGCCGCATGTCACGATTTCCCAATAATATACACATTATTCACCATACCTCAAAATTGTAAAATTTGATTAGAAACAACATACATGAAAGACAAATTCAAGGACTCCTTTTGGAATAGGGATTCTCTGAGTTTCTCCATTTGTTCCAGAAATGGCCACCCAGCAGTTGGCGGTTGTAGAGCAAAAGCTACTTTTCCTAGATGGATAAACGGCAACACGATACGGTATTCCTAGGTGACATGATAAATTAGCATAGATGTTTTGTAATTTTTATGACCAAAAGCCTAATAAAAAAAACAACTCACTTGTATTTAAATATGTATTTGTAAAACAATTGTAATCAACAGCATTCAAAGTCAGTAGATGGTACAAGAATTGTTCTTTTTCTTCCTCACATCTCAAAAAGGCGTATCTTTTGTATTGAGTCCTAAAAATAATTTAGCATAAAAATATCAATTCCAAAATTAAAATAAGTTTGAACGTACCTTAAAAGAGTAGTTTCAGAAAGGAGTGTCCTTAAATGTCTTGATAACAGTTTCTTTTCGAGTGATAGCCTGATAAAAGCTCGTGCGTAGCCGATATTCGTTTTTATGTCTGTCATGGCTTGAACGCTTCTCAAATCGTAGACTAGAGTGTTTGGTAATGGTCGAAGCGATGGCTGTTGGTGGTTGTCTTCGCTCAACCTCCTAGTGTTGCTCGTACGCGTTTCAGAACGGCTTCGCTGCTTGATCTCAGAAATAGGCGACAAATCAGGTGTGTCAGAAGACAAGTCTAAAAATACATTTTTAAAATCAATTTTTCTTTAAATAATAAGCTAAAAAACACAATTTAATATATTATTTATTTTATGTTACATACAATCCATTCGTTTCTTGAGTACATGCCATGCAAGAGCTGCGTCCAGGTTAAAAGTAAATTTTGTTAATTAAGAAACATATTTTAATCAACAGCAAAGTGAAATAAGGTTTAACACATTTAAAGCAAAATATCAAAGCAATTATTACTTCAGAAATCCATCTTTTAATATATAAATTTAACATATAAACCTATAATAAATATGCAATAAATGATTTGTAAGATGGATATATCTGAAACACATTGTCTGTAATGGAAACATGTTATCATTTAAAATGATAATTCAAGGATTAAAAAATGAACTCAATTTATATATTTTTTAAATGTTTTATTACACGATAATCTTTTTAAATTAAATATGTGTAAAAGCACTCGATATTAAAATTAATACGTTAATAATTAATAAAAAGAAAAACTACTATTCTTACTCACGTACGAATAATAAAAAATCGACATATCTTCTTAAAAACTGCGGAATAAAATTGGTTTATAAGTAAAAAAAAAAAATTCCGCAGAATAAAAATAGAAATCCGAGATCAAAGCGAGAACATTTAAAACACAATATTTCACAAATTTTAAGAAGAAAAACAATGTAAAAAAAACAACAAACCTGGCGTGAGGAAATTTGGGTCAATTGGCTTGGATGTGTCGTTGCATTCTTCAAACTCAAGATAGTTAGATAGATGAGCCCAAAGTGCAGATTTACCCTTTAACCGTAACCAAAGAATGAAATTGACCTCAAGGCGTTAGAAGAGGCGTGAGGACACATACCTGTTTCTTTTGAAGGCCGTGGGACCAAACCCTTTCCAGCAGATCACATAAACTGGCGATAAGTGTATTCTCCTCCACGATCGACGTCTGAGCACAATGGCCCATCTCGAGAGCCTCGCTACCGAGTTTTTCAACAAGCATCCTTTTTATTTTATGCTTGCAGTCCTTTAAAAATAAAATACAAATTGTAATTTGATGAGATCTCACAATATTAAGTACAAAAAAAGGTGAAGGAGGAAAAACCTCCTGAAATCCTCCACCATGGGCACTCCCTGTAATCATCAGTTAGGGTATGGTAAAATGGAAAAAGGCAGATCCCCCCCCCCATATACAAGAAAAAAAAACTTCACTTGCTAATGGAGGAATTTAGAGGAATCAAACCCAAGATAACAACTGGGGTGCTGCCTCGTGCATGGGGAGTGAGACAGAAACGCTGTCACTCCCCTTTAGCAAGGTATACACAGCTGAACTGACTCGTTCTATTCAAAGACTCATTAATAAGAAAAATATACAAGCAAAATATAAAAAGGATTGTCAGTGGGAAAAATGGCATGGGTTACTGGGCACATTGGTATAAACGGGAACAAGCAGATAAGGCTGACACAATGAGACCACACAACCCTACCCACACTATACCTAGTCCTGCCATAAGTTCTGTTACAAGAAAAAGGGCCATTAGGGAATAGAGAAACTTGATAATTTGAAAAAGAAATTTATTTTAAAAATCCAATATTTTTTAAGATTGCAATAAAATAATATTACTCGAAATGACCACCTTTTGCCTTCACACAAGCTTTTAGTCTTCGGGACCAATCATCTAGGGCAGTACGCCACACGTCTTGAGGAAATTTCTCAACTGCTTTTAGCAGAGCGGACTTGACGCTCTCTAAATTGGCGTGTTTCCTGTGGCAAGCCATAAGCTCAAGATGGGACCACACCTTGTAGTCCAGAGGATTCAAATCCCCACTTGGTGTGGTGGGGAGTTTGCTACGATGGCACCACAAAACTCCATTTTTGTGAGCAAGGAGTCAAAACAAGGGCGAAAAATTACCAAGAAGACATCCTTGAGAAAGTAGTAAAGCCCTTAAGTACTACTCTTTTTTCCGGAACTCATTGGGTCTTCCAACAGGACTCAGCTCCTGAGCACAAGGCCCGAACAACTCAGCAGTGGCTGGAGGAGAATGTTCCGGAATCCATTAAGGCTTCAGATTGGCCCTCGGGAAGCCCAGATTTGAATCCTCTGGACTACAAGGTGTGGTCTCATCTTGAGGAGCTTATGGCTTGCCACAGGAAACACGCCAATTTAGAGAGCCTCAAGTCCACTCTGCTAAAAGCAGTTGAGAAATTTCCTCAAGACATGTTGTGTACTGCCATAGATGATTGGCCCCGAAGACTAAAAGCTTGTGTGAAGGCAAAAGGTGGTCATTTCGAGTAATATTATTTTATTTCAATCTTAAAAAATATTGGATTTTTTAAAATAAATTTCTTTTTCAAATTATCAAGTTTCTCTATTCCCTAATGGCCCTTTTTCTTGTAACAGAACTTATGGCAGGACTAGGTACATCGGCAGATTTACAAAGTACAAATGCTAATGCAATAAAAAATTAATGAGATCCACTGTTCCAAGATGACACACATTACAAAAAAAAAAAAAAAAAAAAAAAAAAAAAAAAAAAAAAAAAAAAAAAAAAAAAAAAAAAAAAAAAAAAAAAAAAAAAAAAAAAAAAAACCTGTGAAGGCTAGACCAAGAAGGGAAATAGGGTCATACTTACCAGGATGTGCATACATCATACCAAGATCACACCTTGTGGAGTGATACCACGTAAGTGCCTACTGTGTGGAAAACTTATCACGGTAGAGCGCATAATAAAAAAAGAAATACGACATCCTGAATTACCCGTGCTTGGCTTTGAAGCACAGATCTTGTTCCAACATCACAGGGCCATAAATAGTTGTAATTGTATATAGATATTTCTATCTCTAAGTATGTGATATGTGTTATTTATAGGAATGAATGTATTCATTTGCATGAATGGATGGGCTTATCTCCAATTACTCAATGGAATATCAAATACTCTGGGGCAGCGTGAATAATTGTGAATGTACTTTATAAGCGTGAATGAAGGATAAAGAAAAGAGATAGTCAGTTACTGTTATATCATACATCACAACTTGGTTAGAGAAAGAGGAAAAGAAATTAATGCAAGAAAGTCAAGAAAAGATAAGCTAAAAGAGATATTTAACTTTTATTTGTTAGGCAAGAAGGTCAACTATCCACTACCTTATCTTAGTAAAGGTAGGGCATCTGAACAACTTTGTAACTGCAATTTGTTTGTTTTAGATCATTTTGGTATTTTGTTCTGCCTATTCTTGCTGTTTTGGTCTGTTGACAAATTTGAATTTGTGTGTGGGCTTGTGAGTTATTTTTGCCTGTCAGATCCTTTTTAAATGTCTATTAAAACAGCCTGTGCTTAACTGGGAGATCAAAAAGGATTGAGCTTACAGATTCCTCGCCCTGCATATCTGATAAAATAAATAGTGTTACTTAGAAACTGTTGAGGCCACAGTTTGACCACTTGACAAGACAATCAAGAAACATTTGCACAAATTCATCAACATTTCCTCCAGCATGGGATCAATCGAATTTGAGGCGATCAACCCAAGACAAAGGAAAGTAGACTCATTGGATTGAAACTAAATGGAATTGAACTGAGAATGGTAAAAGAAAATCAAGCCTAGTCGACTGGAGTAAATGCTGATGGTTGAGTATGATGACTGTAAATCCGAAGAATAGTTGTCATTCAGACTGAGCTATGACGAGAATAGCTGGTTTTATCTAGGGTAAAATGTATATCATAAATAATTAATCTCTAGCTATAGAGACCTACAGAACATTATCAATTATCTTAAATGATTATTATAATATAATCTTGCATGTTATATAAACTGTAAGATAATATTGTTCCTATTCTCTATCGGAAGTATTGTATCCAACTTTAATTCCTCTCTATGCAAATCAGAAGATGAATATTACAACAACACGGTAATGCTTTACATTTTTACAAGTTCATGTTTAAAAGCGATTAATTAAAAGTTATTTATGCTAAATAATGCCTAGAAAAATTATGCTCAGTTAAGGTCAACATTATGATTTGCAGGGTCAGGCTACCTTGACTACCATTCATATTCATTATGAATAAATGAATTACACATACATAAAACTGTTAAAGACAAAAGAAAATTCACCTTTAGAAGTTTTTCCACAAAATTCCAGTTGGTCTGAGCAATTAGAGCAGGACTCGGGTCACACTTGGGTGGAATCGCTGCAAGCCTTTCCCCACAAATTCCAAGAGGTTTCGCCTCACTCCTCCTCTGTGTAGTTTGCTGGTTGGAATCCAAGTCGTCTAAACTTCCCGATCTGCTTCTCAGAATATTCCGTTTCTTGCTCCTGGAAAAAACAAATTCGAATAAATAAATCCACTGATGAAAATGAGAAAGAGTAAAATATTACTTATGAGGTTCTTGGGAGAGCAAAAGCGGATCCAATATTGGAAAACCTCCGACAGTAGACCTCGAAGTTCGGTTAGGACACATTTCCCTCGGTGGAGGTATTTCAGCATCAAGATCTGACATTCTCCTATCTAACAATATCTGGGTATCGCTTATAGTAACACAAGGCTCATAGCAAGGTGTCCTAACCAGTGCTTCGCCGTATCTCTTTCTACAAATAAAAGTGAAATTGTAATATCATTTTTTTATAAATAAATTATTTTATTGTTATACTAGAAATGTACCTTAACATTTTAATCCTACGTTCAAACACTCTTAACCGTTGGTCCATTTTATTCCAATTGCTAAGAATTTTATTGTCAATTAATGTTGCAAACATTTGTGTTTCTATAAATCTCGAAAGGAATGGCAAATGACGCTGAGGCTGGTCTGATAAAAATGTAGCCTTGTCAAAGTTTTGCATCGATTCCCTGTTACTCAACCATTCATCTTTGTCCTAAGAGGGGGAAAATTAAGCTAACATATGCATAAAACGTCAGCAATGAAGTTGATGGGATGATTGAACTCACCTGATTTGGCTGAATAATAAAATGCTCATAGGTTGAAAAAATCTGTACAAATCTATTTAAGAAAATTTCTCTAATTGCATTGTTGATCCTTAAATCCCTGGCATATTGGACTTCTGTAGTTAAATAAGTGTCTTCAGAAAATCCATCGTCAACAAGAGAATCCCATTCGCCTTCTATATCATCAAGACCATCTAGCGATAACCCTTGATAATAATAATAAAAATAAATGGGTATAATAAATTTTTAAACTTTTGCTGAAAGGTTTCTTGTAATACCAGTTCTTCTTGTCATTGAAACAATTCTTTGCAACGTTTCCGAGCCTTGAGTAAGAGACGGGTTATCTTCAAGTTCATCAGCCCACGAGTGTTTCCTATTTCTAACACTTATGCACGAACTGCTCATAACATCTGATGTGTTGTTGTTCCAATTTCTGATTTTAAGAGTTAATGATCAATTCAAAAGTTAAACGTACGAAAGAGAAAGTTAAATTAGCTTACACATCTAAATGATCACCGGAAACTTTGAACCTTCTAAGGACATCACATATTTCTGATATAAATTCTGCCTTGTGTGGAAAAGTAGGAAGCTCTTCAGGAGTCTGTAAGAGTCTTGTATCCAAGTCCATATAACATAAATTTGCCTGTGCATACAATTAAATTTATACGATTCTTATTAAAATATAATGTGAAGTATGAAGTACAAATTTTTACCTCACTAGGAATATTAACGCGAGATTCTCTTGTATGTAGGCCCATAACAAAAGGAACAGGTGCATCAAGAAAGTGATGACAGCTTGCTGGTAAAATAGGAACATAAACATGAGGCCAGGAGAAAGGAAGAAGCAAGGCTGTCAACGATTCGGCCACTAACATTAATCTTTGGTATTCTGTAAAAAAAATTACGGTATTACAAATAATTGAATTTAATATCATTATAAATTAAGGAACGCACCTCCAGAACAAAGTAAAATCTGATTCTCTAAAAGAAGACACGTAAAAAGTTGAACAACACAATCGACTCCTAAAAGAGTGAAAAGTTCTCTTAGAGGAAAATCAAAAGCTGGTAGATCCTCCATAAGAGCAGGGGACTGGATAATAACCCTCTCCTCGGGGTAACAACAAAAAGACAGTGATCTTCCTGGAGGAGGGACGGTCACTTCGTACAATAAATTATAAACTGAAGCTTCCAAACTCGGTGTTCCTTGCTCTTTCCAGCACCTGATTAAAGCATAAAAATCAGAAAATAGAAATACAATAAGTGGAGCAATTAAATACCTGTGGAGCGATGCTAGGAAAGATTGCTGAGCATGAACGAACTGATGTTGGGATATCAGAGCTATACATTTTGTAACGTAAAGAGTATCTTTTGAGAGATCATAGTACGACTGGGCTGCTGCTGTATGAGCACTTAATTTGAAATGCCTCGGAAGAGATCTGGAGTTGAATTGCCGAGGTAACGATCTTATGTTCTGGTCAGGGGTTCTCTTCGATCGGCCAGATGAAAGTTCAGTCAAATGCATCGCCTGTGTATAAAATTCGACAAATATTTTATAAATACGGATAAACAAAACTTGTTTTGTAACAAACCTGAAGAGTCTGCATCGCGCTGCAAATTTTCCTGTTTTTCGTCTCTTCGTAGAAAACATAACTTGCTCCGTATGTGCGTTTTCCATCTTCTTTTGTTATGACAAATGAGTGAAATTTAGGCTCTAGGTTGTTTTTCTGGGTACGAAACTGCAGCCCATTTGGCAAGCAAAGCTAAATTCAAAACAATCCCAATTAAAAAAATAAAAATAAACCTCCAAGGCTTTTCTAAAAATGTAAACTGTAATTTACCATGCAAACAGCATTTTTGTCAAATGGATTCCATGACACATTTTCTGGATAGTGGCCCAAAACCTTGCTCTTGTATGGTCTTTCCAAAGGTGTTGACTGTAAATTGTCTCCTGCAATTATAAATATCACATTAACGTTTTTAATAAAAATTAATTAACGTAATAAACTGTCTAAAAAAATACAGTACAATAGCAAAATGATGGAAATTAAAAAAAAAAAAGAAATGAGAGATTGGTTTCTTCTGCTGCAGTTGACACATTAAGGAATTAGTCTAATATCAGTCCAGTTGACCAAATTTAACCCATTTTTATGACCCCCTTGTTTAAATTTATACCTTAGGCTTTCAACTTCAAGACCACACACAATAAAGTAATAAATAACCATGACATGTCCAGAAGTTAAAATACTAAACAATAAAAAATATTTTTTCTAATTATAGAAAAAAGTCAGCCAAATTTACCATACATCAATAAAAATGAAAATCTGTTGTATGCCAATTTTAGCATCAAAGCAAAAACAAAGGTAAAACAAATGAGACAATAATAACTAAATCAAGACAATTCTGATAAATATTATTGTGAAATAAATCAAAGCCAATTTTATCAGCAAGTGTTTGCGTTGGAAAAAAGGAAACAATGAACATAAAAGATAATAAAACTGTAAATAGAAAGGAAAAGTGCAATAAAATTTCAATTTATTGCTTGTTTTGGAATTTAAAGACAATAAATATTAAAGAAACACTTTTTTCTGTGTTTACCACCTTACTTCTTAAAAATTAATTTTTTTTTTAAATTACTAATGCACCAAATTATATTAAGTAGTATTTATTGTATGAGTAAGAAAGGCAAAAAACCTGGCTGATATAATCATAGATTATGTGTACAATGACTTCTATTTATATAATTAGCAATTATGCAAATGCTCATCGCTAAATAGGCAAATCATCCATGCTTGAAATGAGGACAAAAAGAAAATTTTGTAAAAATATATATGCCTTCAGTATTAGAAACTCAACTTTTTAAAATAAATTAGAAAAAAAAACAGTCGGAGCTATAAATATTATAAATGATTTATCAGAAGTTCTTCAGCTTCACTGTCCCATCTGTTCTTCCTTTTCTCACTGGTATTGACTGTCAATTTCAAAATTTCATCAACGTTGGTTTATCAATGATCAAACTTGATCAGTTAGGTCTACATATCATTGGTAATATTGTCTACCGGACAAATTTCAGCGTTATCTGGCAATGATTCATTTTGACAATGCATTAAAAATATGTCAATGGGATTGTAGCCCTCTATAGAAACATGCGGAAAAATTCAATGGACCATCACAGAGACTAACGGCAGAAATACTAAATCTAGGATGTGTTAGGATTTGAATTGTTGGACTGCTGACTGGACACTGCAAACTCTGGAGGCATTGTGTTTAGATCAGAAGGGCCAGAAATAAGCCTGTGCAGATATTGCCAGGAAGAAGAGACAGCATATACTGTCATCTGTTGATGCAAATACTTGTGTAGTTTATGATTCCTACTCCTGGAAGAGGAACAGTCCGAACCCAAATTTACTGAAAATTATAAAATATTTTCTTTCTCATGGCTTCAAAAACCCGTAATTTGTGTATGTTTATTGCATGAATTTTAGCACAGTACTAGTAACCATGATATCAGGTCAAACATGATAGCTCATAGTTTGCCCTGTTTAGCGATGAAACAATAAGCCCTGCCCAAAATTCACTTTTTTGGGGGAATATTCAATTTTCGCTTGAATGGAAGTCATTTGGCGACAGCCAATGGTACGATGAAATGTTACCTGTACAGGATCCATTTTTTTGTCGCGTGTGACAATTCGGTCAAAACCTGTGTCTACTTTGCATCAGGAAAAGTGAATGTTTAGACGCTGAGGCTTGTTACCTCTGGTCAATTTATGATGTAAATTAGAGCGAATGGTTTCATCACTTACATTGAACACTCTCATGATCTGCTGACATATTTGACTCCAATGACATTCGACAGCTTCCCTTAATTCTTCGGTTTTCAAGACAAAAGGTCTACCAGAATCATCTTCAATCCCCTCGTTCCCAGAAGCAAACTTTTTGAACCACATTTGGGCTGTGCGTCCGTGGTTTCGTTAAGGAATGCAGTGTAAATTTTTGAAGTTGCTTTGGCTGCCCTAGTGTTGAGCCAAAATTCATACAATATGCAAGCACGATTTATAGCTTTTGAAGCATGAGAAAGGAAATATTTTATAATTTACAGTGAATTGTTCAAGAAACTCTTTCTTAATAAACTCACCATTCCTATTATTATTACTGTACATATGTATGTAATTACTTTTTACACCAAATTGTACATATAAAGATAAAACATTACAAATGATTGCACGTATGCAATAAAATCTGATCCATAAATTTAGTAAGTGGTGGACCTCTCATCATTCCAGGAGTGATGGAGCAGGAGTATGAAGGTCCATCACATCCCATGGCTGTATTTGGTAGCATATTCAAGGCACCCAACATTGGAGAAACTTTCAATTAATTAAGGTTTTTAGTTGAGATTAAAAAAAGTCAGTGTCACGAGCGGGATTCGAACCCACAATCTTCGGCTAGATACGGCGCTGCTCTACCACTTGAGCTACCGTGACCTTGATCCACTCAGACACTAACTTCCCAATCTCAACCCCACCTTTTGAATTTTCCCTCCTTTTTGCCATTTTTCTCAGCTAAAAATCTTAATTAATTGAAAGATTTAATTGGTCAAGCGGACCATGAAAACCAGTGAATTGGAGGAACTGTTGGAGGGAGAGCTCTCATTTGAGGTGAGGCCGAAATATGTCCTCATCTAGTTCGAGCCATAAGTTGTACCGAGGGTCCTACTACCCCTTTAACTGACTCTTGTAAGCCAGGGACTATTGCAGTTCCTGGTGTCGGTACTCCTCTACAAGCTGGCTTTGCTGTTCCAGAGCCACCACCTGGAAGTGGTACTCACGAAAGTCCTTCTGATGAAGGCCTCTACTGAAAGGGAGATAATGTTTTCACCATGAAAAAGGATGAAATTACATGATATAAACACCTAAACTAAAAAACACCTAAAAAACAATAACAAATGAAAAACTGCACAATATTCTCTGGTATTTAGTTTATTGGTTGATATAGGAAGAATCAAAAAGGCAGAATAAAAATAATCGAAGAACAAGTTCATCAATCCACGAGGAAAACTTAAAATTTATTTACCCACAGCCTTACAAATTGAAGGAAATGACATCCCAACGAATCCTCCTGACAGGTCTGTGAAGTACCTAGTTCATTCCTGAAAGTACTGCATAAATAAAAACCGAAGGATATGCTCATCTGGGTTTGCTATATTTTACTATCAACCACAAATCCAAGATAAGGTCCAAACTCACCACGCAAATTTATAAATCTATCATAAGGCCCCTGGTCATTTAGGGTGCAAAATATGGGGAGCAGCGTCTTCATCAAAACTAAAATGGCAGCAAGTATTACAAAATAATATTGTACAATTGGCAATAAATTCAAATTGGTACTTTCACCTATACACGAGACAATTCACAAACGATTGAACAACTGGACTTAGTAAAGTCAAAGGTGCTGACCACTTCAAACTAGGAGGAAAAAAGGCAAAACGTATGCTACAAGCCTGTGTAAATAGTGCAAAACATCTGTGATAGTGTGATAATTTATTTTAAGTTATAACGACATTTATTAAGTAACAATTTCTCCTCTAGTGAACACTGTGATAAAACCAAATCTGACCTTTCAAATTGTTAATTGTGAAATATTTCTATACATACACCTAAAACTAAACTTTCTATACATACACCTAATACCGTAAAACTCTTTGTACGTAGTTGGGCTAGTGATTTTAATTAAAAAAAAAAAAATGCAGTTTGTAGAGAAATAGCCATGAGCTGTCATTTTCTTTTTTCTTCTTTTTCAAGACTTCAGGGAAATGATCAACTGTGCATAAATGTGTTATTTTCATCTAAAGTGCAAGTCAAAAATAAACAATTATATATAATAAAATTGTTTAAGAGAAAATATTATTATTTATTACGAAGAATTAACAAACAGATATAATTTTCTATATATAAAACTAATACGAGAGCAAAGTCTAAAAATAAAAGCCTTGAACCTAACACTCAACTCGACCGTGTATATTTGGGTAGACGGCCAAGAAAACACAGGGATAAGAATAAAATAGAGTCGCCAATTCTTTACAGGATCTGAGACGGTTTAAAAAAAAAATGAAAGTGAAAATGGCAAGCAGGAAGAAAAGAAATCTCGTCCAACTTTCCCCATCAATGTAAAAAAAAATATGTATATACATATATATAATAATAACAATGGAGGAGTTCCGCGACACGAAACCGAAGGTGAAAACGGCTCGACTTACCAGCAAATGTGTCGGGTTCAAGACCAGAACTGAGGTCAAGTCCGCAGATAACGAAATAATCCGCAAACCTCGTCCTACCAGGGTTTTTGTCCGTATCCATATCTGTCGTTATTTACCCGTAAAGAGGAACATGTTTCAGAGGATGGCTCGCCCTTTTAACAAGAAGACGGGGGCCCGAGCCGTTCTCCGGGTCGCAGACGAAAATCACCCATTCCACAACTGGTACACAAACACAGGGACAGAATCTGCTTCCGACTTCTCTCTCCCTCGTCACTGGGCTCTGAGTTCTGACAGTGGGGCTGCTTTAGGTGCTTCTGGTTCTGAGAGTCGACACAGGGAGAAGCGGTAGATGACCGCGGATGACGTCACCGAGACGGATCACCGCCTCTTTCCCCTATGCTAGGAATTCGAATTCATCCTTTTCCTTTCTTCACTCTCTCTTTTATTGCTATGCGGAATGGTGTCTGAACAAATTCTCAACCTTATCTTAATTAATTCCATTCGCCGTATAAATAAAGAGAGTGAATCACATTTTAATTACTTCATGTTTTCATAATATAACTTCTTAATTTTTATGCGTGCTTAGCGCATTGAAAAATTTCACCATATTTAACGTTTTATAATTAATATTTATTTAACGGGAAAAATCCTAATACAAATTATACTATCAATAAAAATAAAATATACATAAATAATCAAAAACAAAAATCAAGATACTTGTATTTTATTATTTATTTCAAAATATATATTTTTTTTTAAATATATTTTTTATATGTTGGTTAATGTCAGACAAAATTTCCATGTTGTTTTTGTTAATAATAAAGTAAAGTAAAAAATTATTTATATTACTATCAGCAATCTATATTATGTATACAAATACATAAGTGTAACTTTAATGTTCATAGTTTACATAAATTTATTAAGCTCTTACCTTGTAATAGTATCAAAATAATAATTTACTGGTAGATGGAGGAATATCGAGTGTCTACCAAACAGAATGAGTGCAATCAATGTATGTTGGAGAGAATGTATTTATTGGTGTGAATGGGGAGGGGCTGATGGCGAAGTAGTATCTCCATCGCCCCTCATGCTGCGTGCATGACTTGGGTCTACGGCAGAAAACTTTTAAAGTACTCCATCGACCCCAAATTAGATTAGTTTATTGTAGTGAACAGGTAGATGGAGGAATATCAAGTACTCCATCTACAAAACAGTATGAGTGCAAACAATGTATATAGGAATGAATTTATTGGTGTGATTGAGTATCGAATATGTACGGGTACTTAGTGCTTCGGGGCTAAAATGACCAAGCTGTCAGATGCCCCTGTTCAAAAAAAAAAAAATAATAATAATAATTTACAAATAATAATAATAATAATTTACTATATCCATATTGTATTTTAAAAACCTTGCATCAGTAATTTAAGTTTATTTTTATAAATTCACTAATTTCGTGGTCCGCTTGACCAATTAATACATTACAATTAATTAATCCGATTACACGACATGTGAAAAATGACAAAAAGGAGGGAAAACTCATAAGGTGGGGTTGAAGTTGGTAGGAAGTTGATGTCCGAGTGGATTGAGGTCACGATAGCTCAAGTGGTAGAGCAGCGGCGTATCTAGCCGAAGATCGTGGGTTCGAATCCCGCTCGTGCTATTAACTTTTTTTCATTTCAACTAAAAATCTTAATTAATTGTAATTTATTTTTATACATTTTTGTATTATTTTTAAGTAATAATGAAAAGAAAAAGAAAAAACAATTTACTAAGAATAATAGTATTAAAGTCATTAATATTATATTAATAAATAATATTAATTGATTGAAAGAAGTAACTTAGTCAATTGACTACAAAAACATAAATGGATTAATATTAATAATAATAAAAGCCAACTGAGGGACATGAGAGAAAAGAACTTGTGATTCTTGCGTGTGCGACTAGGTCACATTGGACTAATCCATAATAGGACTTTCATAAGCAACAACCTTCCAACTTATCCTCGATATATTCGAAGTGAAGAAGGTATCATTCTGACAGTAAAATGTATTTTGGTCGACTGTCACACTTTGCAACCTTTTAGGCAAAGGGTCAACCTTTTGCAAGCATTTTTCGGCTTTTTTAAATTTATTGGAATTTATAATGAGATTTAGGTCTTTTCCCAAATTGCGGGGTAATAAACTACAATTCCCAAAATCACAATTTAAATTAAGAAAGATAGCTCCCTCTAAAAAAATAAATAAATAAATCAAAATAAAGATACGAAAAAAAGGAGAACAAGGGCCTATACTCATGCCGCGATTTTTTGCTAGTCTGATTCCATATTATTTGTATTATTGTTATTGGCCATACAAGCCTATGGGAATTGTTTAAATTATGGAACAAAAAAAAACATTTTAAATTATAATTAAATTATAATAATAAATTTAAAATGTATTTTTTGCATACATTTGGCCTTCCAAATTAAGTATTTTAAAAGGAATAATTAAATTTTTATTTAGAAATCGTGAGATGCGGTCTGGTGTGATGTAGTTTCAGAAAAACATTTTCTTTATCATGCCAACGTTTTGATCTTTATTGAGATCATCTTCAGGGCCTGGGATTTACAAACATTGTTTACATATAACAATTACATTTTGGATGTGGAAAAGTGAATTTATACAATGCAAAATATATTTTTTATATATTCAATCAAATATATTAAATATTAAATGATTAAAAATTAAATAATTAATATATTAAAGCTTAGGATGGCAATAGGACAGATTAGATTATGAATTAATGTTTGGAGTCAAAGGTTTTTAGCAATCAGAAGGGATTTAGTTGACTTAAGATAGAAATTTTAATTATATCAGTTATGACTTGAAATGACCTTAGCCGTTAAAATGCCCTTAAAAATTAATACTAATGATAACAATAAAAATAAAAAAGATTGTATTTATTTATTTAATGGAATGTATTTAAGAATAAACATGAATACAAATGGGTTTGGAATGCATGCGTTGGTTGCTGAATTAACCTATCTGTTGAAAGCAACCCCCCCCCCCGGACCATGTAGATCAACCTCTGTGGCTGGAGGAATAAGACATTAAGACGAAATGAGTGATTCTCGAGTCTACCGGCAATTTACTGTAAAAGCTGTAATTGCCAGCAAATTACGAGAAGCAAATGGGCTTAACTTGGTACATGTTTGTCTGAATGTCTGTTTGTACGTATATGTGTGAGCCCGTTTAAATCCAAATTTAATTAAGGGCAGTCACATATGTAAACCACACCTTTGTACAAAATGTGTAGAGGTTAGTGACCGTTAATCGATAGTTATTCAGATATTTATACAAAATGTAGAAAAGTAACAGTTTACAAAGTAAACAAAACTTTACAATGAAATAATATACATGGAAAATACACAATCAATAGAAAAGAACTTTTATAAAAAATAGTAATTGAAGTAAGACATAATAGTATAAAAATAAAATATAATAATAATGAAATTGATAATTGAATTGTTCTGATAAAAGTAACAATCATAATAATAAAAAATAAACATTAACACAATAAAATACTTGAATATAACTAGAAATATGTGGAATATACAATATATAATGACTACATTATAAGGAAAGGTAGAAAGGAACTGTATATATTTGTTTTAATCGACTGACATTCTACATTCAAGTGTGCAGATATGTTAAATATTGAATTATGTATATTTTAAGTTAAATCATCTTTCATTATTTTTATAACAATAAAATTTTTTTCTTATTAATCCTTTAACTTGCACATCTGTATGTATTTCCATATTTAACTTTATATTATTTCTAATTAAATTTTTTATTGAATATGATTCAACTAAATATGCACAAATACTCTTATTTTTACTTACATAATCAACATATTTTTATGTAATTGTTTTTTAATATTATTTATACAACATTAATATAATTGTTTATATAATATTTTAAAATATATTGTATTATTTTACAATGACAATTTAAAAATTAACAATAACAATAATAAATGTGATCTTTTTATACGTGTAGGTATATTTATATAAAACATTCTTTTAAGTTAATTTCTTGCTTTACATATTTTTGTGTTGTATTTAGTGACTCTGAACAAGACACACAAACACATGACAATGACACATCTACACAGAAAATAAACACCTGAGCCCTGCAGATGTTCTCAATAAAGATGGAAACGGTATGATAAAGAAAATGTTTTTCTAAATCTATGTCACACCAGACCGCGTCTCATGATCTCAAAATAATAATTTTATAAATTGTTTAATACTTAAATAATTTTTTCCTTTGTTTTCTTAGTTTTGCTTTTATATTGTTATATTTTTTTATATTGTACATTTCTATATTTAAACATTTTTTGTAAATTGAATTCATTTAGTAAAATATATTATTATTATTATTATTATTATTATTATTATTATTATTATTATTGGGTTGTCCGGAAAATAATGCA